TATATATATTTTTATATATATATATATATATATATATATATATATATATATATATATATATATATATATATATATAGCATAAAACGAATATTATTTACAGCATTTATTTGCAGACCATGACAATAGGTCAATATGAAATATTCCAAATTTCCAGACCATACATATTAGAAAAATTAATATGGAATTTTATTTTGCATATAAACTTTGCTATATTGTTCATATATTGTTTTGCTCAATATATGAAATAATTTAATTGTTTTATTTTTATTAATTGAAAATATTCCTATTTGAAAATGAAAAGGTACATGGTATTTAGTAGTTTTTTTTTTTTTTTTACTTAACACACTTGCCCATTAATGGGCACATTTCAGAGAAATTATAACTTTTAAGTGGTAATTTAATTGTTTTTTCCGAGAGCTGTACATTGGGGTGCAAAAGTGATCACTATTGACTATGTTAATTTCCATTCTAATTAGCTAAATCATTTATATGAGGAAAAAAAAGTAAAAATGGATGTTCAGAATGTATATTTAGCTCATACTCTTTAAAGAACGCAGCAAAACATCTTCATAATCTTCACCAGAATAAAAATAATGCTCATGTTATCAGTGGTTACTCTGCTTGTGTTATGCTGTTATATTGTTCAGTGTTTTTCTTTTATTGACTGCTGTTAGCCGTTTTTCTGCAGTGATGTGGAAGATAGGGAAAGATGATAGTCTTTTATTGTTCACCCTGTAGTGTTGTACCCTCTCAGGACTCTGTACAAAGGGCTGCAACTCTTGTCTACTTTTATTGCTCTCTCATGTAATCTCTTCAGTTACTCGACTGTAGAGAAACAGGATAAAGATAATAATTTTTGACTTTTTTTCTGCAGTCTTTAGCCTTGTCCTCTCAGAACTCTGTATAAAGGGCTCCAAACGTGTCCAAAATTAACATTCGCACAGAGCCAAATGCTAAAAAAAACGCTGTGTTTGGTGTGCAATCAAAACCAGTTGGTTGGTAGTAACTTATGTATTAGTTGTAATTATTTGAGTTAGTATATATAGCTTTTTTTAATCATTCCTCATTGTCAGGTCAGGTGTGGCTAAAGATTTTTCAAACGAAACGCATTACATAAGTGTGATTTAAAGGCATTATTGTTCATTTGTAGCTCTTTCATTGTTGCCTCCCTTTGACACAGTCACGCATCTGCTTTCTCAATAACATCAGTGACTCTGTGAATGTTTGCATCCAGCAGATCTGTTGATTTAAAGTCATTGTGACAGTCGCAGGCAGAGATTTTTTTTAGCCCTGTCCTTCTTACAGCTTCTCTCCTTAATCTGAACTCTGGTGTTGTTCTCTAGCTGAACCTCTTGGGATCTCCTCCCACATTATGTTTTTATTTTTTCTTTCAGAACGCATAGTGATAGACTTAAAGAGACTTTGTCCACTCAGTGTGTAATCTTTATGGTTGATGTGTAGGTCTTTGGATTTTATCAGTTTCAGAATGCTTGTTTTCTTTGGATCCTAGCTGATAAAGTCTGGTGCGAATTAGTCAAATTAAATTAGAGATTTGGGGGTCTTTGTTCCTAGAAGTCCTCGAACAATTAGCTTGTCGTGGCTTTAGCTTTTCACTACTAATTTAATCTTATTATCTTCCAAAGCAACAGTTAACCTTTCGATCTTTTGTATTTCATTAAAATATGTTGTTCTTTGTTTTGTTTTGTTTTGTTTTTTTAAACTGGTGGATGTGGCACCTGCTCACAGATAAAATGACAAATTGAAGCATTTCTGAACAAGCTGATTTGTTCAGTTTCACCAGTTAAAGATCTCTAAATTCTATGAGTTATAAGTTACTTTAAAAAAAGTAATGATTACAAATTACTGACTACAACTGGAAAATTGTAATTAGTTACGTTACTTAATTACTTAATGTAAAAAGTAATCAGATTACTAATTACTTTACATTAAAGTTACTTTTACAATGTATTAGAGCTGCACAATTAATCGTAAAAAGATCACGATCTCGATTCGACCCCCTTTTTCGTCCCAACTTTTTGTGCCGAGGGCCAGAAACAAAAACAAAAAAGTTGTCCCAGGCCATATATTACATACATTACACAGACACGCGCATATATATATATATATATATATATATATATATATATATATATATATATATATATATATATGTATATATATGTATGTGTATATAAGTGTGTCTATCGTGTGTGTGTGTGTGCGTCTGTGTCTAGCAGTCGAAGGTTTTTAGAGACTTGACTGAATTTCACAGCAATATTTCTGTTTTTACACTGAAATCTAAGTAATTTCTACATTTTCACTTGAAGAAGCAACTACTCTCAACAGCAACCATTTCAGCTTGTGTTCTCCAGCAATTCAAAAGTGCATGCTTATTAACTGATTTTGCAGCAGAAAACGATATTTAAAAGAAGCATTTTTTTCTTCTAAAAACTATATTTATAACGCAAGTAATGCAATTACACTTTAGTACACTTTAGACTTTAGTAACTGTAATCAAATTACACAAATTTAAAATGTAATTTGTTCCCCAAAGATGTAATCAGAATACAGTAACGCATTACTGTGGAATGCCTTATACCAAACTCTGTTCATGATCATATCAATTGATATGTTTGCTTCTAATCTTGAGTGAACAACTCCTAAAGGTAGTGATTCACTAATTCAAAATGATCCAGTCAGAGTGAATCTCCTAAATAATATACTGGTTCAAGTTCAAATGATCTGCTCAGAGTGAGTCTTCAAAATTATTCACTGGTTCAAATGATCTGGTTAGATTGAATCTCCCAAATGATTCACTAGTTCAATTGGTCTGCTCAGAATGAGTCTCCAGGTAATGATTCAGTGGTTCAAATTATTTGATCAGAGTGAGTCTCCATGTAACGATTCACAAATTCAAATGATCTGGTCAGAGGAAGTCTCTAGTTAACGATTCCCTAGTTTAATTGATCAGTCTGAGCAAACCTCTAGTCAATGAATCACTGGTTAAAATAATCCGGTCAGAGCAAATCTCCAGTTAATAAATTGTTCGTTCAAAAGTTCTGGTCAGAGTGAGTCTCAAGTAACAAAGCACTCGTTCAAATGATCCAGTTATAGTAACTCTCTGGTTAACGATTTACTAGTTTAAATGATCTGGAAAGAACGACTCTGCAGTGGTTCACTTGATGTGGTCAAGAGTGAATCTCTAGTAAAAGATTCTCTAGTTCAAATGAACCAGTCAGAATGAGTCTCCAGTTAACTATTCACTAGTTCAAATAATCAGTCAGTGCAAATTTCCATTTAACAAGTCGCTTGTTCAAATGTTGTGGTCAGAGTGATTCTCCAGTTAACGATTCACTAGTTCAAATGTTCTGGTCAGAGTGACTCTGCAGTTAGCAACGCACTGGTTCACCTAGTCTGGTCAAGAGCGAATCCCCAGTTAATGATTCACTGGTTTAAATTATTAATTTAGAGAAAGTCTCCAGTTAACAATTATTGATTCAAATTATAGAGTCTCCCCAAATGAGTGATTCATGAAAATCCTGCAACTGGTACAAATGGTTTTATATTTGGATTTTTAGGTTGTGTTATTCTTAAAAATCAATAAAATCACATTTAGCTTGTGAATGTCTGGTGTTTATGAACCAAATCTAACTAAAAGGTGAAATTTGTATTTCCAGTTGCACAAAATGCTTGAATTTAGTCAAGTTTATGAACACTATTTTACAAAGAATATGGATTAATTTTGTAAATAATGGTCCGTTCCTTTCACACACCAATATTTTCACTTCATAAGAACTTAATGTATCATAAAGAGCCACAAGTATTCATTTTGTTTTGCTGCCTATTTATCTGCCAATTGCTGTTCACATGCAGTATATTCACTCAACGGCCACTTTATTAGGTAAACCTCAATAGTATGGAGTTGGACCCCCTTTTACCTTCAGAACTGCCTTAATCATTGTGGCATAGATTCAGCAAGGTACTGGAAATATTCCTCTGAGATTTTGGTCCATATTGACATGATGACAACACACAGTTGCTGCAGATTTGTCTGCTGCACATCCATGATGCAAATCTCCTGTTCCACCACATCCCAAAAGTTCTCTATTGGATTGAGATCTGGTGACTGTGAAGGCCTTTTGAGTACAGTGAACTCATTGCCGAAAGTCACTTAAATCACCTTTCTTCCCCATTCTGATG